CGTGATGGAAGTACAGTGCAAGTGTTTGTCCGAGGAAGAACTGAGCAACTGGAAAAACACAATGTACATTGTAGACTACAGCAATATATGGCAGAGTTGACTTGGCTGATTAATGTATACACCCTTATCTGGTGAATCAAAAATGTAGGTCCTGGTACAAGAAATTTTCAATCTATTTAAGCCAGGTTGCAATTTTCAATTCCTATGGGCTGTGTAAAAAAAAAAATCCACACAGCCTAAGGGAAGCCAGAACTATTTCTTTATAGTATGTTAAAACATTTATCCGATATTTTATTTACCCAGTCCCCCAATCTTCCTGCCTTGAAATCAGATGTCCATAGATTTTGTGGCAAGCACTTTCCTTCCTGAATCGCCCCACAACCTGTAAAAAGTCACCCCAGAGAAAGTGTTAGACTAGTTATTACTGCCATTCCTGCCTATCTGCATAACAGACTGTGTCAGAGTCAACCATATAGAGCTGAGCTACTGAATCATTCTGTATGTAAATCAGGGCTTGAGTCCTGCAGGAACGCATGGGAATGGTGTTCCTGCACTTTCTCCACAGCAGGAATACCGTTCCCATTTGTGGTCCTGCATGACTTGTTTGCCTATGAGGCAAACAAAGCATTTGCCTTGTTAGCCTCGGGGCAGGCGGGCGGTGAGGGAGCGCTGATCTGTGAGCTCTCCCTGCTCAGCTCCCTAACATGCCGCAGAGTTATGCCGGGAGCTGGAATATTACGTAATGGAGTTTAACCGCCTGCCTGCCTTCCTGCCCGCACAGATCGGCCAGCAGCCCCAGGTAAAAAAAATCCACCCAGCTCTCCCAAATGTAGGGAGGCTGGGTGGATTTTAAAAAATAATCTGTGAGTGTTTGGGGAAAGTGTGTGTGTGTGTGTGTGTGTCTGGCTGTCACTGAGTCTGTGTGTGTATATCTGTCAGTGTGTGTCATATATATATATATATATATATATATATATATGTGTCAGTGTGTGTGTCTGTCTGGCAGCCCTCCTACCCACTAACAGTCCTTCTACCCACTTCACTACCCTCCTACCCACCTTACAGCCCCTCTACCCACTCAGTCCCCCTACCCAATCACAGTCCCCAACCCACTCAGTCCCCCTACCCAATCACAGTCCCCTACCCACCATACAGCCCCCCTACCCAGGATGACATATTGGGCAATAGCTGATTTAGTGGCCTCCCTGTCAGGATTACAGAATGGCCGGACTAATGTACTAAAGAATAGTCAGGAATAGCCGAGGACAAGGGAAACAAAGAGACACAACGATAAGGAAAAGCCAGGAGTCAGGGATGCCAGAAAACAGGGAAGTCAAAAAACAATGCCAAAGTCAAATAACCAGAAATACCACAATCAATAACGCGCTCTCAGTCAATAAGAGAAACCACGGCAGGGCACTTAGCAGGATGAGAACTAGGCCTAAATACCCCTCCTCTAGATCTGATAGACTGTAACCGGCCTTTAACCCTAAAGGCAGTCACCAGGTTACAATTTGCATAATTGCTGCTCAGCATTAACCCTTCTGTGGATTTGGTTGCTGCTCGGCACAACTTTTCCTGTGTGGACAGTAAATGCCATTAACTACATTTTTATAAGCGAATGAATACGTGACATTACCCCCCACCTGAAGAATGCCCACGGGGTGGGCAGGACCAGGCTTGAGAGGAAATTTGGCGTGAAAATAGCGAATCTTGCGGCCAGCATGTATATCAGATGCCGGAATTCAAGAACGATCGGCTGGTCCATAATCTTTCCAATCCACCAAGTACTGCAAAGTGCCCTGAGAAAACCTGGAATCAATACTCTTCCTGTCCAGAAACAACTAAGGAAGGAGGGGGGACACTTGAGAGTATATTTATTGCAAACAAGAGGTTTGAGCAAGGACACATGAAAGGTATTAGGAATTTTCAAGGAGGCCGGAAGGGCCAGAGAGTACACAACAGGATTGATCCTACGAAGGACACAAAAGGTCCAAGGAACCTAGGAGCAAATTTCATGCTAGGGACTTTGAGCCTGATGTTACGAGAAGATAACCAAACCCTCTCACCCACTTGGTAAACAGGGTTGGCACCTCAACGTGTATCAGCATAATGCTTGAAACAGTCAGCAGCAGTACCCAGAGCAGATTGAACTTTAACCCAGGTATCACGGATGGAAGCCAGACGGTCATCCAAAGCAGGAATAGCCGTATCAGAAAAAACAGCCAGTAGGACAGTAGGTTGCCGGCCATTATTAACAAAAAATGGACTATGTCCAGAGGAGTCATGGTCAGCATTGTTCCTAGCAAACTCGGCCCATGGTAATAATTCGGACCAATTGTCTTGAGTGCTATTAATGAAACAATGCAAGTATAACTCCAAAGACTGGTTCGCCCTCTCAGCTGTACCATTAGTCTGGGGGTGGTAAGAGGATGAAAAAGACAATTCAATCCCCAATTGTTTATTGAAAGCCCTCCAAAACCAGGATACAAACTGAGAACCTCTATCAGATACAATATTGTGAGGAATGCCATGCAGACGGACAATCTCACGTATAAAGATCAGTACCAGGTCTTGAGATGACATAATTTCTTGAGAGTGATGAAGTGAGCCATTTTAGAAAAATGGTTAACAACCATGAGAATAGTGGTATAACCATTAGAACTAGGAAGTTCTACAATGAAATCCATAGACAAGTGGGACCATGGGACCTCAGGAATGGGAAGAGGTTGTAACAAGCCACAAGGGAGTTTATGAGGTACTTTGGAAACCACACAAACAGAAGAAGCCTGCACATACTCCTTAACATACTTCCTGAGGGAATCCCACCAGAATGACCTCATGATAGCAGAAGTGGATTTATTAATACCTGGGTGACCAGCAGACACATTGTTGTGAAACACCTTCATGATATTAACCCTTTCCCCCAATGGAATAAACAATTTGTCCTGAGGTTTTCCTGCAGGGTGCCTGAGACTGAGGCTCCATGATGGAGCCAAGCAGTGGAGAGGACAATGAAAGGATAGTGGAAGCAATGATACATTCCGGGGGAATGATATGGGACTTTTCTTGCTCTTGTATAGACTCAGTATCAAATTGTCTGGATAAGGCGTCGGCCTTGACATTTTTTAGAACCAGGTCTAGAAGTAATAAGAAAATTAAAGTGAGAAGGGAACAGAGACCACCTAGCTTGTCTAGAAGACAATCGTTTAGCATCTCCTATGTAAGCCAGGTTTTTGTGATCAATAATGATCAAAAGGAGGTCCTTGGAACCCTCTAAAAGATGTCGCCACTCCATGAGAGCTAGAATAATGGCCAACAATTCCCTATTGCCAATATCATAATTGAGCTCGGCAGGCGACAACTTTCTAGAGAAGTAACCACAAGGATGCAATGGAGTATCCTGGCTCTCCCTCTGGAAGAGAACTGCCCCTACCCCTGTCTCTGATGCATCAACTTCCAGTATGAAAGGTTTTCTGGTGTCAGGATGTATCAATATGTCAGCGGAGGCAAACCGCTGTTTAAGAGTTTCAAAGGCTTCTATAGACTCCTTACACCATATCGTACTGCTAACCCCCTTGCGTGTCATATTGGTGATGGGGACTATTACTGAAGAAAATCCCTTTATAAACCTTCTGTAATAATTGGCAAAACCAATGAACATTTGAATGGCTTTCAACCCAGGGGAAAAATGCCATTGTAGAACCGATTCCAGCTTTTTAGGATCCATCTGAAACCCCGAGGCAGAGATATTATATCCCAAAAACTGTACTTCAGATTGGTCAAAGATGCATTTTTTAATTTACAATAAAGTTGACTCTTTAACAAGGTCTGCAGAACTTGTCTAACATGATCGTGGTGAGTCCGAATGTCAGGAGAATAAATAAGGATATAATCCAGATGGACCAAGACAAACGAGTAAATGTAATCCCTGAGTACATCATTTATGAAATCTTGGAAAACCGCTGGAGCATTGCACAACCCGAATGGCATCACTAGATATTCATAGTGTCCACTTCTGGTATTAAATGCAGTCTTCCATTTGTGGTTTTCCTTGACTCTCACTAAATTGTAAGCACTTCTAAGATCAAGTAAATACTTTAGCGCCTTGGAATCTATCAAATAATTCAGCAATAAGAGGAATGGGGTAGGCATTCTTAATGGTGATTTTGTTCAATGCCCTGTAATCGATACATGGGCTAAACTCACCGTCCTTTTTAGATACAAAAAAGAATCCTGCCCCAGCAGGTGAGGATGATTTTCATATGTGGCCTTTATTC